TCAATTTTAATAGTTATATATACTTATTTGACCTAATTGATCATTTTATTATCTTCTTGATTTCATTACCAACTATTATAAGAAACAATAACCCCTTGAATTTTCCCCTTATTTAAAGATATGTAAATATCGATGAGGCATTATTGGGAAAATTATATGAGTGACACATAAGTTCTTGCAAGTTAAGAAACTCAACAACCCCTTAACTTCATGGTATCACCAGGGTGTAGTGACTCATTTGAATGCCATTCCATTATTTCAACTCGACGAACAAAAGTTATTGAAAAACAGCGAACCTGCCAAATAACTTTAGTAACTCAAGGAAAAATCTGTTAGCACATACAGATAATTACGTATTTATTTAAGGCTTCTTCTAGTGAATAGGAAGCCATTGCTTCGACAAAATCCTGACCTTTTCTCTATAAATATATTTTCATATGTACATACATATGTATTTGTGGGAAGATTTCCTTGGGAAAAATAAAGAGGGGGCGAAATATGAAGGCTATTGGAGGGCGGATTAAGGTTCAAGTGTTTGTTGGAGGTCGTTGTCAACCGATTCATTCATAAATAAACTCCGCTCAGCACCTTCAAATATGGGAATTCCCAGTGGCAATGCAAACAGCGAGACCTTTTCAGAGATACAAAATTCAATTTTGACTGGCAATCGAAAGAAATCATAAAAATAAAAGACTTCGATTACGTAGACTACTTGTTGTGTCATTGGCATGCGAAATGGACAAACAAAAAAAAGTAGCTAGAGAAAAGTCCATTAGATACACAAAAGTGAAATTCGCCCACTCGAGCACCGTTTTACTTAACATTCTTATCACATGTCAGCCATAATGCTTGTTTATTTTTAGCGTCCCGCACGAAAAAGATATGAGAATAGGGGAGATAATAGATATGTTTCCCAGAGCGTAAGCCTATCTTCATTGCCCGCCATTGATTGCGCACTGACACAGTTTTTGGGCCTCTCAATCAACAAACAATTGAAAATTGTTTATCGAAATCTCTGGGGAATCGGGCCAGTCTCCAATGAACAAAGCGGAAGAATGTTTTCGATTGATCCCCATTGTCTGGGGCGAATAAAGGGGTGTGGCCTTTAAAATGGAAACAACAAAAGCAGGTTCTTACAAAGCGTTTTGGGGGTCGGTTTACTCATTGGGCATCTGGTGTGTTATTGACAGAATATAGTAATTAAATCCTCCAATTCTTGACTTAATTAGGATGGATTTAATTAGCCAGCTATTACTTACTTAAGTTTATGACACAAATATTTGCTTTCTTAAAGCACTAAACCATTTATATTTCCATTAATGAAAGTACAAATAAAATAAGAATGAACTGTTTATTTATATTATTTAGTCCTTTTCAAAATCAATCTTCCTTAACGTTTTTATCAGAGTTTAGTAAAACCTACTTTATATACACTTTGTTTCTAATGCTTCAATTGACTTTTAATAACACTATTGCTTATATATTATACAACGATAAGCGTGAAAAATGTACTTTTATATTTAAGCCGTTTAAAATGAATTTGATACAGGAATTAAAATATATTTTTTCACTTGCATACTCATTTGAGTGATTGTTATAAAACAGCTATGAATACACATATTAGACATAAATCTATCTGATGAATTGATTTAAGTATGTATTTGGATTTATTTAAAAATAAATTTATTTTTCAGATATTAAATATGGAAGATGATTCAAATTGGTATCGCGCCGAGCTGGATGGGAAGGAAGGCCTCATACCCAGCAACTACATAGAAATGAAGAACCATGAGTGAGTTCAAGCCAAAATTATTTAATGAAAATGTATTTAATCCTAACTTGCATTGTAGTTGGTACTACGGTCGGATCACACGTGCGGATGCCGAGAAGCTACTGTCCAATAAGCACGAAGGCGCCTTTTTGATACGCATCAGCGAATCCAGTCCCGGCGATTTCTCCTTATCAGTCAAGTGAGTTGCTTCAAGCGGATGATGTCTTACATTCAATGCAAATCACTAATCACTAATGACCTTCTTATCTCGCAGATGCCCAGATGGTGTTCAGCATTTCAAGGTTCTGCGCGATGCCCAAAGCAAGTTCTTCCTCTGGGTGGTCAAGTTCAACTCCCTCAACGAACTGGTCGAATATCATCGGACGGCGAGCGTGTCCCGGTCACAGGATGTCAAATTGCGTGATATGATACCTGAAGAGGTGGGTGTGCCTGCCTGTCGTCCGTTCCGCGGACGCTTTTGCCGCACAGACAGGCGTGTATTCGTTTTTACAAAAATACAAATTCGCGTAACACATTGAGGTCATGCTTTTGCACGCCGCCGCCGCCGCCCACCCATTCGAACTATAAACAAACAGTGATGCCAAGAATATTTGATGAGATTCATGATCTTCCACCGATTTCTTTCTCTCTAATTGCAGATGCTCGTGCAGGCGCTGTACGATTTTGTGCCACAGGAATCCGGCGAATTGGACTTCAGACGCGGCGATGTCATCACCGTCACAGATCGCTCCGATGAGAACTGGTGGAACGGCGAGATCGGCAATAGGAAAGGAATCTTCCCAGCAACTTATGTGACGCCATATCATTCATAATAAGATAACTTCTAAGGAGGGACGCCACACACACCGCTTCCCCTTACCCTTCCCCTTCTCCGCGGAAACAACAACACACACAAACCATAACGATAACGATTAGGCAGCATCATCAGCAACTGCGAATAACAGCAAGATGGAACTAAACACAAATTTTAAATATTTATATACAAGAAAACAACATGGACATAAACTCTGTAGACAACGTATACAACACAAGTTTAAGCCTATAAGCCGAATGCATTTTTACGTTTTGACGTTTTTTTGATAAAACAATACAGTACGATACCCTTACGAAATCTTTTCATAGCAACTGAGTGACACTTTAAACTAGATATGTAAATTTATTTGTGTATATATAGCTGCGGCCGAATAAAAAGCATTTGATTCGAGTTTTCCGTTGGCATCTTCTGAAACAGAGGGGCGAAACTCACTGCTAATATCTTGACCGCAACTATAGGCATATGCAAGTATGTCTACATACCCAGATGGCACTATTATTATAATTGTAAACAAACGGATTTTTGATATAAATATATATAATTTAAGTTCGATAAAGAGAATATTTGTCCTGTGCTGCGAAACGAGTGTTAAGGATTGCCCTAAATGTGCTCTTTAGTTTATTTGATGTTTGACGGAGTGCGTTTAAAGCGAGTAAACACTTATATTATTATGATTATATGATAACGATTACCAACCAACCTTATGCTTAACACGTTTTATAGAAAACGAAACAAATTCACTATGAAAACTAAACGTTTGCCTAAATGTCTCAAAGCTGAAGACAATTAAAACAAAATTAATATTATATTATCGTAATTGCCTACCACATAAATTAAATTAATTTTTGCATCGCTGGTTACTATTTGCATACATGCACGCATCTATAATTAAATATGTATCTTCATAATGCAAAGCGAACGATATTAGGCCTCGGCTGCACATGCACTTTTTGCGCGACTATAACTAAATTATATGAAATTTTGTCCCCTCATTTTAAAATCTAAAATTGTCAATAATTTAGCTATCTCGCTCGCTGTCTGTTTTGTTTATTATTGTTTGCATCCCGTCTTCTGACCACCAACTCGATTAAAAACGAAAAATAAATCAAAAAAAAAGAAAATGGAAGGAAACATTTGTGACATGTGTAAAAAGTTTCAAACTGCTGCTATATCATATTGTGCTATAAATTATTACTACTACTATTTATAATTGGTTGAGTGTGCTGTGTGTAAGCTTTTTTTGTCACCAGAAAAGCGAAATAGTTGCACGTTTACGCGTTTATCAACTACATAACTATATGCATAACAATGTAATGAGAGTTGCCAATATAAAGTAATTTAAACAACAACAAAATGCTAAAACGAAACATTTTAAGCCTATTTTTTTATCTATACATATTATATATCAAAGCAAATACATTTATACATTTTCCTAATATCCACCAAACTATGAAACACGACGACGATGCCTCATGAACACAACACATCAAAAATAACTTTTGATAGGCCATAATTTACATAAGCCACAATTTATATTGGCCAGCAGCTGGACGCACGACAGTTTTGTACTTTTTGAGCATATTTGCAGGCGTTGGCGAACATTTCTCGGCCCAGAACCAGTAGTTTAGCCGCATATTTAAACTTAAATTCTAATCTTAATAATAAAGCAGGCAAATGACAAGGTTTAGATATTAACTAACAAGCGAAAACACAAATGAAACATTGCATACGGTATGTTAAGTTGAGGACGTAGTTTAAGCAACAAACTGATTTATCTAATAAACTATGATATATAAAATTGAATGCTGTTGCTTGGCGGTTCGGTTCAAAAGGGATTTCAATTCAAAATGTGTAATTATCGATAGGTACTGTCGATATGTTAGGATTTATTTTATAGTATTTTTAAATCAAACTGTTATAGAAAAAAATTATCACTGTTAAAGTAAAGTGGTCTGAATGGTTTGAGTCTGTACTAAAGGTGTACTTGTGAAGCATTGTGAAGCATGATTATCATTAATATTTTAATATATATTTCATCAACGAATCGTTTATTATACTTGAACGGGAATTCGTGTATTAGAATGTGCACGTCCATCACATGGATAGGCAAAGTAAGATCTAGCTGTCAGCGTTTTTGTGTTTAACGTGTGCATTCCTTAACTTTTTAAGGTTCAATGAGTGTCTTCAAAATTGTAAAATGCAATTAAATTTGCAAATTATGGTCACACAGCTGTTATTACTATTTTTAACAATATTAAAATAATAATGAAATGGCAATACGAAATGGACTTTGCTTATCCAGGTTTTCCACCCTCATATTTAATTATTTTGTGGTATATTTTTGGTATTATTATTTGGAAGCTCTTATGGCATATTTATGAATTACAGCCACGGTCACACTCTCATATGGAACTGAGAAAAAAACTACTCGGCACGGTAGTTCAATTAAGTTAATTTTGTTAAGTAAACATACAAGTGCAGAGTCGCCGCGCACATCCACGTAACCGTGAGGCCGCCCACTGCTCAATTTTCACCCGTTAAACAGCGCGCGAGTCGTTGTTCCGCCAGCATTGTGGTCCACGTGTGGAAATAGCCAGGAAAAGCGGAGGTGCACGCACACACACACACACATACACATAAGCGCGCAGCGAGGAACACGTATACAAATGCGCGCGAGGGAAAAGCGCTAGGTCAGAGGAAAGTGAAAAGTGAAACGTGAAACGTGAAAAGCGAAAAGCGCATCAGGGATTCGCATTCGCACGTAACGCAGCGCGTAACTCGAAGGAAAATGCCACTGCTCGCCTACCGGGAAAAGCACATCCTGAGTGCCCAGCAGCTGAGGAAGCTGAGCGAGCACAAGTATTCCTGCACCAGTGCCAGCCTCCTCGATCCGCTGCTGCAGCCCTGGTGGAACTGGCTGGTGGCCCAGACGCCCCTCTGGCTGGCCCCCAATCTCATCACCATTGTGGGACTGATCGTCAATGTGGTCACTACGCTCATATTAATCTGGTAAGCCCCTGCACCGCCCGAAAGTCTTTTTCGCCGGTGTCAACCCTCACCCCCCTTTTCACACCCTTGACCCTGGGAAAATCTCATTTTTGGCTAGGAAATTTCCAACCCAATTGGTGGGATTAGGGCTCTGCACAGCTGTTTTCTTTCATTTATCAACTGTCACACTTGTCACTTTGAGTTTGCCGGATCTGTTTGCTTGGGTTTGGCAGTTTCGTTGCAAACAATTTTCTATTTTCTGCTATTACTTTCACTGTTATTGTTTTGAGAGCAACATTAGAGATTTGTAAAGTTTTTGGTTACTTCTAAAGATGGCTAAACTGTTTGCTTTGAGCAAAATTGTCACAGAAAAATATATATTCCTTCTCAAGAATTGTTTAACTTAGCCAATATTGTTTGCCCTTCTTTATTAAACTTGAACATCTTTTTGTGTTTTTAAAATATGTTAGTTAATTTTTAAATTTTTTTCGATCTTATAATTTTTATTAAAAGCAGAAACTAATTACTAACATTAATAACATTATTCATGTCGTTTTCACATAACTTGAACTTAATTTTAAATTAAAACCACTCGTTTTCTTCACAGATTTGCAAGTTTAAAAGATATTACTCCAATAAAACTTTTTTGTCAAGCAGTTAACTTAAAGGACAGTATTTAATTAGCCCAAATAATATCAGTTTCTCAAACGTTGACAGTTACTTTGTTTTTGAGGAGAACAGCGAAAAACAAGAAAATCAGGCGAACAGCCGATTTTGTTTCATAATGCGTCGTGATAGCGTATCATTCCATAACTACGCTAACTAACTAAACCAGTGGGTGGGGGGTGGAGAGGCGTGAAAGTGGCGGATACTGCCGACCTCCCGCTCCAGAACTTGGACACACTATAACTATGCCAGCGATAAGATAGCGAAGGCGTCTCGCCACTTTAGCCATTACACACGAACTGCGCGAAATGTATGTAATCGCAATCATCGTCGTTTGTCGTCGTATTATGACGCATTTCTTTAGTCTGAGGGCGTTGCAAAAACCGCACAGTTAAACGATAAGTAAATAAACAAAGGCAGGCTAAGCGTTTGGATCCCAAGAGTCGTCAGATACTGCATTGAATTCAAACAGGTGCAAAAGAGCGCGGCGGCAAAGAACTTATGAGAAAGTTTTACTTTGCGAAGGCAAGGGGTCACATGAGTTAACCCAGGGGGCACATTTTGCATTTTCCAATTGTTTGCCTTTCAATTGGGATACCTTTGATTGAATTAGAATGACAATTTGCATCTCTAATTGATTTTTATGGGTCTTTCCAGCAAAGTCCAACATTTGAACATGTTTCGCTACTCCTAGCAAACAAAGTAAAGAACTATTTTTAGAGAGACTTTCACTCTTGCTGATGTGGAGAAAAGCTTGAATTTCTAAAGACAAAGCCTCGTTATATGTTTCTAAATTATTCTTACCACGTTTGTTAGCAATGAAAAATAGTAATTTGCTGAAAGTCTGTTGTTTTTCACACATATTTGCAAGTTTTAGTCAAGGGTACACAAGTAAAAGGGGCAAAAGTCAAATGAAATGAATCATTTAATATTTAAAGTTATGGAATATTATGGCTTTATGGGAAATTAATTAGTAATAATAAACCAACAGTTTGGTTAAACCCACGTGTCCCTACTTTCGCCTCATTATGGTTGATTGCTTTAGAGCGTTCGTATGCCATTTACTTCTGTCCCACAGCATATGAATCACCTTCAATGCTGCTCACGTGTCGGTTTCTGTTATTTTTAGACCAAAATACATGCTGTAGGATATATGTATATATTCATTCACAAAACCTCGCCAAAAAGACCAGACCGGTTTTTATTTGCACTCTTTACCCATTATTATTCTACTTTTGTGTGCAACTTTTGTATTTGTTTTAATAATAATGTGCGAACACAACTGTTGCCAGCCCGCTTGTTTTGCGGATTTTGCTGAACTTGTCTAGGTCAGTGGAACTCGATAAAGTAGTGTCAATCTGTTCACGATGATTCAGCTGGAATCAGGTGTACTATTTATTCCGCCCGCAGTAGTTGTTGTGTGCCGAAATTCCGAGCCGGAACCGCAAAGTCAGCTGATTTTGCGACACTGCGGTGGCGATAGCGGTACGCCAATCGGGCATGTTCGAGTTTCAGCTGCAAAGTAGTGATTTTATACTTGGCCTGAGAGATAATTAAGAAATTCAGCTTGGAACTTTGCCCATCAGGCGATCTTATGCTCACTGACGTCAGTCTGTGTGGAAAATTGACTTGGAAATGCACGAAACTGTTTGAAATTGTACGCTTTGCAGCCCCACCGGTTGGTAAAACCGTTTTAATTTTGTTGTTCAATTATTTTTTACAAGAGGATCTTTAAGTTACAAGCTCAACAGAAAACAATTAGCATTTCAGTTTTAAGAAAACTGTATTTTGTACTTTTCGGTAATTGATTGAGTTTTTGATTTAATTTGCCAACGTTTTGCACAACGTCTGTTTGGTTAGCTTTGCAATGAATCAGCTTACTTACTCAGCTTTTAATCAATAATATCTGGGTCGTATATGCAAGATTTTACTTAAGTAACACATATATCAAATAAAAAACTATTAAGTAATTTAATAAATATTACAGAATTTGAAAGTCTTAAAAAAATCACAGCTCCTTTGTTTCGAAAAGAAAACAATTAATTTCAAAAATTTCTGGTTAAACTTCTTTAAGTCACTGATGTTTTAATAATGTTAAAAAAAATTGTTTCTGTTTTTGGTATTCTGGTATATTGAGCAACAAAGTAAGAACATAATGTTTAATATTAACCCATTATTTGGCATGAACAACGACCTTAACGCGGATTTTTATTAAATAGATACATAAAATTAAAGAATATATTTCTCATTTTTCTCTTTTCTGATCTTTTTACACTTGTATTAAGGATAAAGGATATGTTGCATAAATCAATAAATATACTTGGGGAAAAAATAAATAAATATGCATTATGACCATATAAAGGGAAATTCCATTACAGTGGGGCTTTACTTTTAATTTATAATTGTTTTATAGTTCCACTCTTATATTTTTGGTTGCGCTCAATTGTACATTTTTTTTTGGTAAAGCACTTTCTGTGGTGGCAAGTAATTAACTCTCTGTTTTGTCATACCAAACTTTAGTTATAGCCCAAATGGCGTTGACGCTCCGCCACGTTGGACATGTCTGCTGTGCGCCCTGGGTCTGTTCATCTACCAGAGTCTGGACTCCATCGACGGGAAGCAGGCTCGTCGCACGAACACCTCCTCGCCGCTGGGCGAGCTCTTCGACCATGGCTGTGACTCCATATCGACGGTGTTCGTGGCCGTATCGGCCTGCATCTCCTGCCAACTGGGACACTATCCCAACTGGCTGTTCTTCCAGGTGAGTGGCTAATGGGGCATGCCATTGAGAGCAAGATAAATTCCGGACTTTTCTTCCAGTGCTTCTGTGCTATAGCCCTCTTTTACTGCGCCCACTGGCAGACGTACGTGTCCGGAACGATGCGCTTCGGACGCATCGATGTGACGGAGGCGCAATTCTCGATCATAGCCATTCACCTGGTGTCGGCTGTGCTGGGCCCTGAGATCTGGTTGACTAAGGTAGGAGTGGTACCGAAGTCACCCCACGAAGATCCTCGAATAATTAATTATTCCCGAAGTTTTTTTTCGCATACCCTTTTATATTTTCTTTAGATAATTAAGCGTATTTTTAAGAGTTTTATTTCGTTACGTTAACATTAGAGTTTAGAGTTGGAGTTTCATTTAGGCTGCTTAGAATTAAGCTCGGCTCAGCTGCCTTAAGTTTCGTTCTTGGCGATTTAGCGATTTTAGTTTTGAGTTAAACCTCCCAGCCCCCCAAAGTTCCCATTTAAAACCACGAAGTTTCATAGGTTTTCAAGGCCAGGATAGAACACATAGAACTCTCTGATAAACTTATAGTTTTCCGAATAGTTTCTTATTAAACTTTAACCACGTCCAGTAATCTTATATGTCTAATACCTTCTACTTCTATGTACATTATGCGTACTGCGCGCGCTCTCTAAACAAACCTGCCGAAATGCAATGCCTATTGTGACCAAAAAAAAAAAACACTTAACAAACCTACACATAACACTCAGATCGGCATTGGCAGTTTAGAGCTTTGGTATGGCCCGGCAATGACGACCATTGTGTGCGGTCTGCTCTCCCTAACTTATGTATTTTCCGTCATTAAAGCCGGTGGTGTTGGCAAGAATGGTTCGACAGTTGCTGTAAGTCCTTAACACACACACACACACAAACTCACACATGCACACAATATACTACTACCACTACAACAAATACACACACACAAAACAAAAAATATTTTGGCTTCTCAAAGAAAAAAAAATTGATCTGAACAAAAAGAAGTTTTCAGTTTTCAGTTTTCACCTAGCTTTCTATTTGCTGATCAGCTCAGCTGAGTTTCGAGGAAAGGTGCGTGGCGTGAGGATACCCTTAACCCCTCTATCCCACTCTTTAACCCCCAAATTGCTTGCCTATTTAATCTGTGCCGTTTTTGATTCTTGTTCATGTGTCTTTGGTTTAAACGGCGCAGCTGCTGCAAAAATTATAATCCTGCTTTGTTGCTATTGAAACGACTCAAACTTGACATATTCGGAGCCAAGACGAGCCAAGCATGCCTAAAACAAAAAAAAAATCACACACACAATTACTATTGGAGGCTGCTGAATGCAAAATTTAAGTTAAATCTTAGTTGTCCCTACAATTAATCTATGTATTTGCCCTGTCCACATGTCCAGTTGACATTATTGGTCCTTCTATTTACTTATATTATGTCTATATTGTCTTCCGGTTTTGGATTTACCTATTTAACCCCAAAAGTAATATCTAAAACTACTCTATCTCTATCTTATGTATTTTCTTTAAGCATAGTTGTAAGTAAGAGGAGTTTGCTGGGTGTTCACAGTTGCTGACCGACTGGCTGGTTAACACTTGGAAAACTCTATAACCAAAACCAAAAACATTTTATCAACAAAATTTTCTCATCCTCTGATTGTAGTCAAAGACTCTAAATTTTATTGTTTTTCTTGCAATTTTTCATCTTTACTAGATACCAATCGTGGGCCTTTCATGGAATTATACAATATTAATATTTATCACATTCGGTTATACCTTGAATATAATCAATTTCTTAAAAATGTTTACTGAAGGCGGCAGTGGCAAAAACGGCTCCACAGTTGCTGTAAGCATTGTACCCTCCTCTTGCAATAACGAGGCGAAAAACTATTATAAAACCAGTACAAATCAGTTAACAGACTAACTCGAAAGGTGGCCATCAATTAATCCTTAGCCCCAGCCATAACATCTTTAACTAATCCTTGGTTCTGCTTTTGGGTTCTCTACTAACATTCGATTTGCATTTTCCGTTTACTTGGACTTTGGAAATGGCTTGCAGTTTTAGCTTTTCCGGTGGAGGGCTCTGGAAATTGGTTTGGGCTCTCGCACTCGATCATTTCCTATTTCCCATACTGACTATTGCAACAACATTGGATGGATGCCATATTATAAAGCATGCTGCTTGGGCTTAGTTAATAATGTAGTTTTAATGTGGTATTACTTCATATTTATTTGCTATTAGAACGACAGTTATTGGTATTTATAATAATAATTTAATGGCACCATTAAGCCTAAGTTTAAGTTTAACAAACATACATATTATTTACATATTTGGTGTCTCTGGAGCTTGTACAAAAACCTTTAACCTTTAAGTTTTTAAGCCACACTTTGGTTATCGAAAGACTTTTGGGAAACCACAAGTGCTTCGTAAATGCAAAATGAAATATTAATGTGCGCCGTTCTTTTCTCCCGCACGCAATCAATCAATCAATCAATGAATCAATACCGTTTTACAACCCCAAACGAACCCGATCCAATTCCCCCATAAACCTTGATATTGGCAGCTACCATACTACGACTGCGAAACTCGATTTCTGCCTATTTATGTGGCCTGCGGCGTTGACTTTGTTCTAGCACTGCGCTACACCAAATGCATTTTAACAGAGGGTTGTGGCAAGAACGGATCGTCGGTTGCAGTAAGAATTTAACGCTTAAGTTGCTCCCGAAAAACACCCACAGAGATAGTCTCGTCCTTGTCCTGGTGTGCAGTGCGTTTGGAAGAACATATGTTACAAATTTCATGTGTCTAATGTGGTTTAAACGCACTGTAAATCGGCTTCAGTAGCACACAAGTTGAGATCTGAGAGTCCCCAAAAACGTGTTGCTTTTGAACTACCTTGAGTAATGCTATCTTATCGATCCAAGTGCATGTCCAATATATACTTATAGTTTTATTATTTGTGTAGCTCGTAGTTATTACTTTTTGGTGATGGCATGTTGGCATGGCATGTGTTGCTTGCTTTTGATATTTTATACTTTGTATGGTAAATTGGCTTTTTATACTGTCATATGTGCATTTTAAAACCCACAAAAAACCAACAAATCCACCACCACCACCAAACCAACCAACCACCCACCCACACACCCGCCCAATTGCGCTAAACCATGTAAATAAAACATGTAATAAACAAATCTGTAAGCGCAATTTCCCCTCAAGTGTTCTTTTTTTTTGAAATGTTCTATGAAGGGGAAATTGCTGAACCCTAAACACCAAAAGCCAAAAGAATTTTTGTACACTTTTGTTTGTGCACTTGACTTGTTGTGACCCTTGCAAAATGTGCCGCAGTTCACAATTAACTAACAAAAACGTTTAAAGTCCAATGACCACACACGCACAATGCCGTCAACGGTGACACATTGCAAGGGTGCAGCAAAAACCCCTAAGATCGTTTCTAATTGAACACTTTCCGTACTCCTGCAGGGCACCAGTGTCCTGTCGCCCAGCATTCCCCTCACGCTGGTGGTGCTGCCCGCCCTGATGATCGCCCACAAGTCGCCGCAGAACATCTTCACCGAGCACGCATCGGTGTACATCATGGCTTTTGGCATGGTGGCCGCAAAGGTCACCAACAAATTGGTGGTAAGTTCATTAGTTGAAGGACTGCAGCTGTAGCTTTAATAGTGCTCTGATTTTAATTAGAGAAATGATTTGAAGCAAATCTGAAGGCTTTTTCTCTTCTGTTTAAACAGAAGTTGTAAGTTTTCCAAAAGAATTAAGTTTAAATTAAGTGGGGCCAAAACTAATATTAATGAAAGACTTCCGAAAGCAACTTAAATTTATAAGTTTAATGGGGTTACAGAGAGCTAATATACTTAAATTGACAGATTTCTAAAAAAAAGACTTCAAATGTTGGTTTAATTAAAGTCAAATAAACATGTTGATAGATTCCAGCCTGCATTATATCAAAAAATGGTTAAAACTTATGCAAAACAATTTTTTTTGCTGGCAAAACAATATTGCATTGTTATTTACAATTAAGTCTTTAAAGTCTAAATAAAACGTAAAAATCAGATTAAAGAAACACTATTAATTGATGTGTTCTCCGGCAGATTGCCCACATGACAAAGTCGGAGATGGATTACCTGGACTGGTCGCTGCTCGGCCCCGCGCTGCTGTTCCTTAATCAGTACTTCAACTGCATCGTGCCGGAGATCTGGCTGCTGTGGTTCACCCTGATCTGGGGCACCCAGGATCTGCTGCGCTACTGTGCCCAGGTGTGTCTGGAGATCTGCCAGCACCTGCGCATCGATCTCTTCCGGATACCGTATACGCCCAAGGGTGGGACACCGCATCCGGCCACCGCCTCCGTGAGCAGCCAGAGCAACTTTGGCAGCAGTGCGGACAAGAACGGCGGCACCGCGCATCGGAAGTCGAAGAGCAAACCCCATTAGGTTTCGGCCTTCACCGCTACATTAATTAGTTCTCTTTTACAATTGTACGTCGTTAGAGCCGTGGGATACTCGTAGGAGCAGGCGGAGCGCAATTTAATACAAACCAAACCCGTTAACACAACCCAACAAAATTCACCGTCGATATTTAAACTACAAAAACAGGAGAAACATAACCAAACGAAATGAAACAAAAAAAAAACTAAACAAAACAAAGCATATAAAAACGTTAGCAAAAGAGCGAAGCAAACGGTTGCTCCTACATTTTAGGATATAGTTTACAACACGTTGTTGTAGCAAGTCAAAGAAGTCGAGGTGGCTAGGACTCATGGGAGAAAAGAACTGTTGCAGTCTCCGATATCAATTACATGGCTAAATATATATATAAAAACATATATTTTGTATGATTGTGTAAGTTGTAATAAATCCAGATTGCAGTATTTTTACTGTGCTAAATCACATTTGTGCAAATGCCAAAAAGAAAGCAGAATAAGCCTATAAATAGCTCGATGAAAGCTCAATTTACGTTTAAGTTCTGAGGCCACGGCCACGGCCAACTATTACCCATTGGCGAACGATCCATCCCACTAAAGACAACAAAATAAGTCGCGCAGCTACGATTTTCATTCGAGGCCAGTATATCTATTCATGTTACTCGTTTTAGTGCTTAGTCTCCTACTCATCGGCGTCGTCTGAAGGGCCGCGACATTCTAAATGGTGACTCATTTCAAAAAGCGCACTATACCTATCCTGACTAAGCCCATAATTTTAGTGCGTTTCGCGTGACTACATCTTATGCATCCTAAATTCTAGCTAAAAACTTATATTTGTAGCTCGTACGGCGCTGGCCGGCAAACTTTATAGTTAAACTATTATGGATTATGTTTTATGTTGTACAAGAAATTGGAGACGAAACAAACAGCAAGAACTAGAAATAAAACGAATTGCTAAAAATAAACCATGCTTTTCAATTGGGAGTATAAATCGTTAGTTATCAAGAGTTTACTAAGAAAAATTGAGATGTGAAGATGCATTTATTTAAAAAAAATTCTTTAAACTATTATGTAAACACAGCGAATCATTAGAGATGATTAATGTATGTGTAAAATATTACATTGAAAATATTACTGAAATTTATGGCGAAAGTTAATTAATTAACTAAAAAGTGGGAAAAAAAACACTTTTTTACCTCGATATCTTAACGATATCCTGACTGACCACATAATCCGTTTTAGGATGCACATTAAATACCAAACTTTGGCAATCCAATCCCTGGCAGTAACTACAAAATATTATAGGCAAAATTGTTCATATGTCAATGTAATCAATAGGATATTGTTTTTTAATAAAACGATGTTTAAAAGCCTTTATGACGTGATGTCTCCTTTAGCAGCTATATTGGTCCGATCCTTAGAATTTTGCAATGTAACTGATAGGATATAGTTTTTTAATATAACAATGTAAATAAGCTTATTTGTCGTGATTGTTTCTGTGACTGCTATTGTGAATTTTGCTTGGATTTTTAAAAATTAGCTTGACTTAGCGGTTTTGTTAATAGTTCTTAGACTGAAAGCAAATGAGGAATTCGACCAAAATCGTATAGATTATATTTAATGAAATACCCCTTTCCGAAAACTTCTTGAAAAACAACTAAAGGTTGCTAATAGCTATAGCATGGTCGTTCCTATAGCAGCTTTAGGATATAGACGTGTACAAATAACACAATTTCTGTCTTTTAAACTGAGTTCCTCAATTGAATTTATCTGCCGGTGTAGAACTGAAAATCGTGACTACAACTGGTTAAAACGGCCCGATACCATGTCAGGCTAAATAAAATGAAAACGGCATGTGAATGCTTATAAATCCTTGTTTTTATTCATATATTTCGCACAACAATTCAAATGCCGAATTAGGTTTCCTTTAACATTGCATATATAACACATAACATACTTATGTACAGTTGCCTATTTAGTTAATTAGTTCATGTCACGGCAATGAATTAAATCAAAAAGAGTACAGAAGAACATATATGTATGTGCTGAAATAATAATAATAAACTATTCTGATGTTTGTGGCTTACAAAAGTGGAAATATATATTATAAAAAACTTAAAATTTTAAACATGTCGATCCAGATTCGTTCTGGTCCTTGAACTTTCGGTACAGTTAACTTAACGGGATTTCAACTTAAAACGGCAACATTCTTACTACTAACTAGGCTAGATGACTTAATTGGACTAAGAATGAGCCCGGTCACAAATCATAGCCATCAACGCCATGTCGCGCACCTCCAGAGTGACGCGCTGACGATGCTTGGTGAGCAAATAGGAATCGGTGAACCGCTGCGTCAGGAAGATCTCGCTGGACTCCTGCATGGCGAGCAAGGCTCCCTCGGTGACACGCATTGGCTCTCCTTGGCTGTGCTTGATGATCAGTTCGCGCACCAGGCGTGCGAACGCCAGCTTGGGTATGAGCAGGCCGGGATAGTTCTGCAGCCGCCGGATCTCGCGATCCATCCTTTGGGCTTTGCTCTTGGGATTGCTGGGCTTGCGTCGCCGGGCCGGAGGCTGAACAGCGGCTGGTCGTGAGCCTGAAGCCGAAGCTGGGGCCTGAGCCCTGGCTTGCTGGGCTTGAGCTAAGGGGCGGCTCCCCTGCTGATGGGCCATGCGGCGCGTCCCCGCCGATCTGGCTGCCGGTTGGCGATTTTCCTGATCCTCCTCGTCGCTCGACGAGGTCGTGTCCGCAGGACGTCCGTCGGTGCGCTTGCGCAGCGTCGAGCAGCGGCGATTGGCTGTGTCCTGCAGCTCCAGGCGGCTGCTGGTGAACTCCAAGCCATAGTCGGTGACATCTTCCGGGTCCGGCGATCGGAAAGCCGTGTCGTCGTCATTCTCCGCGTCCGTGTCGCCCAGCGTCGGCTTTGGCCCTCTCGTTGTGCGACTGGCCTCACTTTTCCTCGGCATCTTTCTAGTTCGGCGAACTTGGAGCTTGAAAACACACCACTTCTTATTTCTTTTTTTTTGAAAGCGCTCCCGCTTTTTTAGCGCAGTGTGACCGAATGTCTGAGGACCGAAAATATCAAACAGCCTATTTATACAGGCGGCTTCTTGAGAGGTACGTGTGCTATTGCGAGTAGTAGGCTGTTAATTCGGTTGTGATTCAGTATTTTTTTTAGTATTTAAAGGAATTTGACTTGGATATTTTGGAATTTTTTGGAGATGGAGTTGCATTTTGTCTATTTACGCGGATTTTAGTTAAATATCCATTTCGTTGGCGGGAATATTGAATTTTGTGTTCTCTTTTTCTTCTTTTAGGTGAGAAGTAATAACACCTGTTAGCGGCTGTGGGCAGACGCTACAGCTAAATATAAAATCATTTCCGCTATCGATACATCGATAGTTTTAACGGCCCATATTATAAATTTAAACAGAAAATTAAACAAAAATTAATAACTAAACCGAATTATGGAATACCAAACGTTAGATTAAGGATTTTTTAATAGTGTTTACCAGACTACTACTATCACAATCACGATTTTTTTAAAATGGCTTTTAAAAGAAAAACATGTGTCGACATATTGCATATCGATTAATGCCCACCTCTAGTGCCCAGCTGATTCTAGGGCGATTCCCAACACTGGCGTCTTGTTTACCATTTACCTTTTCGAATATTTGCTTTATTGCGCTATTATAACAAATTCTCAGAGAAGCAGAGGATCCAATTATGTCGGAGGACCATGGCAAAGACTACACGCTGGAGGCCGACTCCGAACTGCGTTTTGAAATCGAGCAGAAGGACGCCAAAGTCTTGGTATCCGTAAGTTGACCATGCCGCCGACTTTCAACAGAATACTGAGTATCTAATAAACTATAATATTTTGTTTTAGCTTGTAAATGGCTTTGCGGAGATGTTCGGCACGGAGCTGGTGAAGAAAAAGAAGTACGAGTTCGGCATGGGCGCCAAGGTGGCCATCTTCACGTATCAGGGCTGTGTGCTGCACGTCTCCGGCAAAATGGACGTGTGCTACATTTCCAAGGAGACTCCAATGGTGCAGTACGTCAATTGCCATGCTGCCCTGGAGCAATTCCGCACGGAGGCCGAGGAGAAGGATCGCCGCGGTCCAGTGGCCATGGTCGTTGGGCCCATGGACGTGGGCAAGAGTACGCTGTGCCGCATCCTTCTTAACTATGCGGTGCGTGTGGGTCGTCGTCCACTCTATGCCGACTTGGACGTGGGCCAGGGCTCCATTGCCATTTCGGGCAACGTGGCCACCATCCTCATCGAGCGACCAGCGAGCGTCGAGGAAGGATTCGCCAAGACGGCGCCGCTGGTCTACCACTTTGGCCACAAGACGCCCAGCGGGAACAGTGTGCTGTACAATGCCGTCGTCTCCAAGATGGCCGAGGTTACGCTACAGGCTCTGAGTAGCAACAAGCGGAGTAAGTGGGATATTTACAGTTTGTGAAAGGTTAAATACATTTTATTTGGAGTTCATCTAATAGAAAATATAAATGCAATACCCTCTTTCTTTTCCAGCCAAAAGCTCCGGCATTATAATCAACACCTGCGGCTGGGTAAAGGGATCCGGATATGCACACCTGTTGCACGCCGCCAGGGCGTATGGAGCCTGTGCCATCTTCGTGTTGGACCAGGAGCGCCTCTACAACGAACTACTGCGTGATGTGCCCAAAAGTGTCAATGTGGTGCTGCTGCCCAAGAGCGGCGGTGTCGTGGAGCGCAGCAAAGAGCTGCGGCATGAGGCGCGCGATCAGCGGATCAAGGAGTATTTCTACGGAAACGCAAGAGCACCATTCTATCCGTTCAGTTTCGAAGTGAAGTTCCAAGACCTGCGACTCTACAAGATTGGGGCGCCGCCGCTGCCCGACTCTTGCATGCCAATTGGCATGAAGGCGGAGGACAACAAGACCAAGGTGGTGGCCGTCACTCCCACTCCTGCCCTCATTCACCATGTGCTGGCACTTAGCTTTGCCGAATCCGTGGAAGATGATGTGATTGGCACCAATGTCGCCGGCTTTTGTTGCGTGTAAGTGCTGTTGGCTTTAAGTTGTTTTTTTTTTTTTTTTTTAATTTTAAATAATTAATTTTGTGACTTTTAGAACCGAAGTGGACATGGAGAAGCAGGCGGTAATGTTGCTTTCCCCGCAGCCGCGACCCCTTCCTCCGAATGCCCTGCTGTTGTGGTCGGAATTGCAATTTATGGACAACCACACATAGCGCTTGTAGATTTGTTCCTTTAGAAGTAATTCCCTTGTTTTAAAATTATTGTTCAGCGTTACAAAAATACAGATTTAATTGTACAAAAATGTAACGTATATTTTTCTGACAACTAAAATGAAAAAAAAAAACAAATTGAAGCACGACATTTTTATTTTTCACTTTTTTAAGTTTTTATAAGTAATCATAATCATAAGTAAGGAAACTATGCTTAGAATATAAAATATACTTTAAATCCTTTTTTAAATTATAAATATTAATATGTAGCTGCTCTTTTTTCTTTTATTAAAAATAATTGTTAAAAAAGATTTAAATATAACATTTTAATTTTCATACCCTTGGAGAGGGTATTGGTATTTCAGTCAACGTATTGAAGTAGACATTTTCGACCCTATAAAATATATATATATTCTTGGTTAGCATCATTAGGAGAGTCGATCTATGTATGAATATCTTTTAAAAATTGTTTTTCCCTTGAAGGTCGTATACAAGTCGGTACGAACCGGATCGGACGACTACAACATATATAGGAACTATCGAAAAAAAAACAAATAAAAAAAATATAACTATATAGCTGTTTTTAATTTTTTTTTTAATTCTTTAAGATATAGTAATGGTTAGACATTTTAGAATTACGCCATTAATTTTATTAAAATTTAACAGCGGTCAAATAAAGCTAACGGACATTTTATGAAGTTTCAGTGCAAAGTGTACTGTTGTAAGATATAAAGCCATAAAAAATATTAAATTTGTGCAATTGCTGCAACTTCAGGTATTCAAACCAAAGTTTAAATTAATATTTTTTCACTGTTTTATAGCCAAGTTACACTGACGCACGTCTCCTATCGATATCGGAATAGCTGCGTCTAAACAGCATTTCTTTGTTTTGATTTGTGAAGAAAACGCTAAAGGTGTTTGTTGAAACGTGGACAAATTTAACATAAATAAACGGGGAATTATAATATATCATATCAATTACTAATACAAATTTCAACTTGGTGAAATTTCAGGAGTTTAGCAACCCAGTAGCTGCTGAAATTTTTTTTTACGCACTTTTTTCCCATCTCCATCTGCCAAGTGTAACTAGACACTAATGCCCTATTTCCACACAGTCTATCCGTTGTAAAAAACATCGGCAAACTATCGCGTTAATTATAGCCTATTTCCACAGAGATCCTTCATCCTTCCACCATCCGTTGAAGGAAAGGTCCATAAGGTTTTGCCGTTCCAAACACTTCGCAGATTGTCTGCCGTTAAAATTTGACGAACAAAGTCAACAGGTTAACCATCTTTTCTTATGTTTTGTTTTTCCAAAATCCCAACGGTTTTTCAGGGATGGTCTGAGTGGAAAGAGGGCTGCACCGCAGAAACATCGGCTAACTATCGCATAAATAGTCCGTCAAATTCTAACGGCAGACTATTTAGGGAAATTTTTGGAACGGCAAAACCTTATGAACCTACCTTTCAACGAATAGTGGGAGGTGGATTGATCTCTGGGGAAAGCGGCGAGTATTGGACAGCGCTTAGGCAGAGGGGAAGCAGAGTAGAGATTGAAAAACATCGATGTTGCCCCGCCAAACATCGATTACGGCGATGTTTAGAAAACATCGATGTAATCGATGTAGGCATCGATTTTGGCATCGAAGTTTATCCACCTCTGCATTGAGAGCGAGACGAAAAACACGGCAACGGAGAACGGAAAACTCAGTGAAAAGTAAATCAAATATTTACAAAATAAAGTAACCACAAAATGGCTACGTTCGGTCGAGTTGCGTGAACTAAACAACAATTGGCAACCAAACGGGCTGGATTAATACACTTTTAGCGGTCGTTAAACATTGATACTTAGGAATTTGACGTGTTTTTCACGTTTGTTGTGCAGCGTGCGGGCTGTTGTTGTTGTCGTCGTGTGTTGTTGCTGTGTGAATGTGTATCAAATGGTTCTAAAAACAAAACAAGAGATTTCGGGCATCTAAATTTACGGCCTGCCTGAAAGACGTTCTGTTTTCTTTTGTGTGCGTGTGTGGTTCTGTCTCCCTCTATCTCTCTCTTAGTTGCCTTGTTGCTGCATTTTCCAGCGGCAAACTGCGTTTGTTTTGGTTGTCGTCGTGAAATTTTCCATTGGAAAGTGCAGCAGCGCCTTTTTTGGGGGTTGCATACACCGTCAACCGCCGGCTTGTTGCGCCGTGGAAGCGCCAAAAGGTGCCTAATTACCAAGTTGCCTTATCGTTTACAGTATTTCAATTTAGCAACCAGATGGGCGGTTTCCAGGGGGAGGGGGTCGTCCCACACACAGTTGCACAATTGCTTATCACTCGCTACTTTACGACAACAACAAGTTCTAGCACGCACACAGGCGAACAAGGCGATCACACTGATCAGCAAATGAATCAAAATTTCAATTTCATTTTGACAACAGCAAGAGCTGAAAACTGTGCAACAAAACACCCTTTGACAAAATGCAGAGCATACAATTGCCCAAATGATCACTAGTTAACAAAAGAATGCCAAAACTTTTAAGAAAACTAATTTTTCCCGCGCACTGCTAAACTACTAAACAAAATAAATAGCAAACCAAGAAGAGCTGCATAAAATTGAAACAGAACAAAGTAGATAATTTAAACATTACTTATATAAAAACATTTACAACACAGTTCGTTCAATTTAGTTTCAATATTTGGAGTTTTGGAAACTGTTTTTCGGAAAAGTGTAGATTTATACCTCAAAAAGCCAAATAAACAGATGTGACTTTTGCAAAAAAAGATATAAACAAAAAAAAAATGTTTAATAAACTTTACAAACTAAAAAAAAGAGGATAATTTCTTATTACGCAAAAAAAACACATAATTTCGGGAGAGGAAATATAAAAATTGTCTTAAAACGTTTACAATTTCCAAAAATTACTTAAAGCAGTGTATTTCAGTGTATAACAAAAAATTGATTATTGTGCGACTTGTTTTTAACACTTCGTCTCTTTTCCACTTGCAGTTTTTCCGTGTGAATATGTGCGCCTAACAATAGACAAACGATCGGGTCGCGTCGACTCTAATTTTTTGCGCCAAATGTCTTAAAATTTCGGTGATTGTGCTTCCAAAATAAGATGGCTCTTGAGCCACACATAAAGTCTGCTGAAATCGAACCTCAATTGTGCCAAGTTATAACAAATAATGAAGATGTGACAACGAAAGCCCCAAAATGTGCGACATTTAACAAGGGAGTGGGATGGCGACATGTGCTGATCGGCTTTCTACTGATTTGCTTTGGCATCTCAAACAGTTGGCAATACAAAAATGGTAAGTTCTCTACTTTCAATTCGCACAAAGGGCATCGTTTTTGCAAAAGGAATTGAAAAGTATTTGATGGCATTTCGATTAATTTGACGAGAAGCGGGGTGTAAGTTAGAAACCACAGGGATAGGAAGGTTGTAAAAGGAATAGGGCTTTGATATCATTCTCCTTTACTCCGCTTAAAGGCTTTCTTTTCACAGGTAGCGCCCGATTTGGTCAACCATTAACTATAATTGAATAACAAATAGTAATTCCAATTTAACAGTTATTCGATATGAGATATTACACGAAATTTATGACAGTTCTTAAAAGTGGTAGCTCAAATTGTCATGATGTTGAAATTTGATATACCAAATATTTAGCTGAAATTTGATTTAAATAGTTAAAATACATATAAATAAAGAAAACAAATCTCCGCAATTAAAAAAGTTTTAAAAATATCCAAAAAAGGTCAATACTTCAATAATTTAGCAGCGTTATGAAAAACTAAAAAAATTAAATTTAATCCATATAAATTTCGAGCCAGTCGTGCTGGCTACAAAGGGTCACGTGCAATATGTTAAGTCTTTTAATCCAAAGTGTTGACTCCTTCGAGCGTCTACTGTATTCGTTTGTCTATGTGGTTTCAACTGCACTTTTGAGCTTCCCTCTCCCCCCCTTGACCCTTATTTTTTGCTCAGTCCTTTTACCGCTTTGCGTTTTTCTTTAAGCTCTTTTTCATGTTGTCAAAGCCCAAAGGCTGACAATTTCTCAGCGCAATGCTTTTATGAATAAACAACTACTACTTATTTAGACTGTAGTACGCACTCAACTTGATTGCACTGCGCATAATTTAGTACCCCCTTCTTCGTGGCTCCTCAAAACACTTTTCCGACTAGATGCGACGCTAATGAGCTGAAAAAAGCAGCTCACTAATAATTCAGCAGTTGTAATATGCCAAAGTTGCCCAGTAATTGCCGGCATATTTCAAATGCACAAAGCATTGGCGCAAAAATCATGCACAAAGAAAAATAAATGGTCAACATTGTATATTGTTGTACATAAAAAGTTTTTTGGAAAATGTATCTTCATGATCCCAAATTTATAAATTTTATTACCTTCTTACTTGAAAATGTTGAAATCAGAATTACAATTTTTTTTGTATTATATTAAACTTCAATTTTACTTACTTTAACAAATTATAAAGTTAGCACTTGGGAATTCTAGCTTTGAAGAAATGCAACCTATACCGCAAAGCAATTTATTTCTCTAACATATGAAACAATGCCTTACTTTATATATTTAACAAATAGTCCATTCCATAAGCTCATCTATGCCAATGGTTTGCATATTATTTCTCAGTGTAGCTTATAATAGGGCACAAAGGACAGAATTGGAAGGGGCCTCTACGGGTCAAGTCAATATGGAAATAGCAAATGGACAAAGGCCGTCCAAACATCGTTAAGCCCCAAAAAAAGGGGACGCTCGAGTGTTTGGCTGGAAGATAAGCCTCCGCTTTTTTCGCCCTCTCCTTTAGTTGCAATCCGGAGTTCCGTAGTCCGTCGTCCGTAGTCCGTAGTCCGTAGTTGGGAGTACTCCAGCATGCATTGGGGCGCCCACAAAGCAAGAGCCGCCGCCCGAAAAAGGAAGCCGAAAACTTAAATTTGTCGAGCCGGGTGAAAAAAAGCGCATCAAATATGTACACAAAGCTCCGGGAAAAACCATCTCCATCTTTCCTGGCTCTCATTCGTGTGTATGTGTGGGCGGTTGGATGGGGGGTGCTTACTTTCTTTAACACTTTGACGCGCGCACAAAGTGTTTTTGCCTGCGTTGATTTGCTTCTCTTTCCCACA